CTCTCTGTCTCTCTCTCTCTCTGTCTCTCTCTCTCTCTCTCCCCCCCCCACTTCTCTTTCTCCCTCTTCTTCTCCCCTAGGCACTAGAATAACTTACTAAGTCTTCCATGAATTGAATCTCATTCAACTGGAAAAATAATCATCAGAAAGCAGTTCTGCCAGAGTGGGAGTACAGGCCTGTGAGCGCCTGCAAGTTTCCCATAAGGAATGCTGCAGAAGCCCTAGCCTGGTAGACGTGGAGCCCAGCTGTGCCTCCCTCTCAAGTGGGCAGGCAGTTGGTGGTCACCCAGTAGACAGTGAGCACCATTAGGTTAGCCACCTGTGTGTCTGTCCAGGGCCCTGGGAAGGGCAGGAGCCAGAGGCCCAGTGTTGGGAGTACAGACAGCACTAATAAAGCCCAGGGCGTGCCCTTCATAGCAGTTGGGGCTCTGCTGGCTGAATTCCAGCTAGCTCTTGGCTCTGCTCCCCATCTCCTGCTCACTCCCACACCCGTGTAAAGGTTCAGAAACATTCCCTTCTCTTGCTTGCCTGTTTTCCCCAATTTCTTCCCTAACTTCATTAGTTCCTCCTGTTTACTCACCCAAGCTACTCTCTCCTTCCATCACACTCATTTTCTCCTGGTCTGTTTCATGCAGTGCATTCGCCTCTTGTAGGATTCCAGCAAGGAGGAGGCTGGGGCTGGGGGCCAGGTGGGCTGAGACATGGAGTTCTCAGCCCGGCAGGGGCAGGACACAGGCAATCCCTTCTCCTGCAGGGGCGATGTCACTGATAATAAAATCCTTGGAAAACACACTGATAGCAACGGCAGAAGTGGGTGGCCTGGGATTGGATTGGAGCCCACTCGGGAGCTGTACGTCAGCCTCATCCTGCTACATGGAGGCAGGTGGAGCAGCCGAGATTCCCAATCCTAGGCCAGGGACCTCATTGCTCTCTGAGCAATGAAAAACCTGAACTGCGCACTCTGTTCCCTAGGTCCTCTGGGGCTAGGTGGAACTCACACTGAAGTCAGTAAATGCTGCAGGCTGCGGGGTAGACCAGAAGCCCACCCACGCCAGGAGATCTGCCACTCTGCAGCCCACAGCAAGCAGCCAGTGTCTTCACAGGGAGACATGGCCTCCCCTTTCAGGGTCAATGGCTGCAAGCACCCATGTGCAGAGGCCAAGGGGCCCAGCAGTACACAGCGGAAAAGCAGAAGCGAGAGTCTGCTGACAACAGGAGGCATCGAGCAACTCTGGATGGGAGTCCTGCCTGGACCTCATGCTTCGTTAATGTGAGGCTGGGCAGTGTGGGCCCTGTGGGGTGATTACGAAGGAAAGCATGTGAATTCTCTTCTAGGAGCACTACGGTTGGCAAAAGAAATTCTGGCAGCCAGGCAAGACACTGTGAGTTGGTTTCTTTTTAGTTGCATGGCAGCTCCTTCATCTCTGCGCCCCTCCGTGACACTGGCTGCTCATAGAGTGGTGAGGAAATGCAGATGGCCCTGGGGAAGTGCCTCTCTGAAGGGGGTTTGGTGAATCATGCTGCATTGAGCTGGGGAGTAGCCTTAGCGTCTGCAGCCAGGGTAGCCTGGGCAGGGCATGCTGTGCATAGCTCCTGGGCCTGGTGTGCTTGGAGGATGGAACAGGGGTCATGGTGGCTCCAGAAAGTGATCAGAGGAAAGGCCTAGAACATGGAGTCAGGCTGTGGTCAGGGGCTGATTCATGGAGCCTCATGCAGGCAGGCTGTGGGCCTTTTCGGGGACCCATGGGAGCCTTCAAGGTAGGCAGTAACATGAACAGAGTACGAGGGGGAGGAAGGAGGAAGACATGTGACCCTGGGGCCTGACTGTCCTGTGCTTACCAGCAGCATGCTGGTGCTCCCCAGGTTCTGGAACACGACACACACATCCTGAGCCCGAAGCTAGGGACTGTCAGCAGGTGGAAGGGAGCCTGAGCACAGGGAGCCTGAGCTCAGAGAAGACTCTGAAATCTGTGGGCGACTGTGGCTTAGTCAGTGCATCCAGAGGCAGAGCTGAGTAAGCAGAGGAGAGCGAGGCCATGTGGGCAGATCCCAGGCTGCATGCTGTTAGAGGCGCTGCTCCTTTCCCAGCCTGCATATCACATCTGCCACACAGGAAGAATGAATGCCAGAGCTCAGGTGTATTGGGGACACCATTGTAAAAGTAAGTGGAGCTCAAAGACTATGTGCTTTTTACCTACATTAGTAAGACAACTTTAATTCATCCTAGTAACCCACCCTATCTAGTCTTTGATTATTCCTTTACTGGGAAGAATAATTAGTATGAGGTCAAGTACCACACACACACACACACACACACACACACACTTGTAGAATATGCCTGCCAGAGTCTTCCGCAATAAAGTGGCATGTTAGTCATTTATTTGGAGAAGGAAAAGTGAAAAGGTTCGGAAGAGCAGAGCAAAAAAAGACAGAGAGCTGGTCCATGTGGACATGAGTGCCTGATACTAGCTGTGCTGCTCACCTGGGACAGCTGCACACCTGGGAGCTGCACACCTGAGAGAGCTGCACACCTGCCAGGGCATATGTGTACTGTGTGTGCCCCTCACACACACATCTGGCTCCTGCTGGGCTGGCAGACTGCTTAGAAAAAATGGTCCACATCACCCACTACGCAGATGAGGAGGCCTCCCTAAATCTCCAACTGGCAAAGTCTTAAAGCTGGGCCAGGGGTCAGGGTTCCTGCCCAGTGTTGTCCATGTCCATCCATACCAGGGACATCCCTAAACTTCCCACCTGTTGGACACGGTGCTGCCTGTGGCTAGCAGGGCAGCAGCCTGCCTCTGCCTACCACATATTGGGGCAGGGAAAAGATACCTGTATGTTTAAAGTAAATGGGGCAGAACGAGCCATAAAGCATGCTGCTAGCCACTCAGGTGACCCTGAGTGGGCAGCGGGGACAAGTCGTCTAGTTCTCTTGCCTCCAGGCCAGAAGTCATCGTGGCAGGGAATGGGTGGGAACTCCCAGTGTCCAGTGAATGCCTGCTTGTTGGTAGGCTGAGCCTGAGCTGGCACAAGACTCTCCCTCCCACTGTACCTTGGGCTACCACACATCATCAGGGCTGCAGAAGGCATCCCGCTCCTCCAAAGGTACGCCCAGCTAGATGGGGGTAAGTAGTGCTGGGCTCACTTTGGAAGGAGTAGTGAGACAGCTCCCAGGTGTGGAAGTGACTCAGCTGGGGCTGTGCTTTCCAGACAGGCCCTGGCTGCCACTCAGCTCAGCGGGGAGGTGGACACGCAGCATAAAGAGACTGGACTCTGGAGACGCATGGTAGGGGTCACTTCTAGCTTCATGTCTGCGAAGGGTGCCATGTTGGCTGAGTGTTTTGCCTTTCTGGGCTTCTGTAAAATGGGTACATTATAATTCTTAGTGAGTGAGTAGGAATGAACCTGCAGGCGCACCATGCTCTACGCTTTGTCTGTGTCACCAGTGTGGCAGTTGGTCCTACCAGAGAAGGGTCAGACAGGTGAAAGTCCTGTTTTCTCCCCTTATACTTGTGAAGGACCATCATGTTATGTGCTGTGGTCGGCTCTGTTTCCCATTCAAGGGTGGGATACGGCCAGACAGGGTCACACAGCTGAAGCACATGCGGGGCTCCCTTTGCCACTGAGCTGGGCAGGTGTTCTCTGTGACGCCAGCTGCCCCATCTTCAGGGGCAGGCAGGGCAGCCTTGTCCTGGGATCCCACGATGACACACTGGTGTCTGAGCATGGTTTGGGCCAGGCACCTGCACGACGGTGCTGAGAGCTCCCTATTTTAGCAGCTGCATGAATATTGCAGTCCACACCCGCGTGGTGGACACCCTGAGTGTGGTCTCTACCTCCCTTCACGAGCCTCTCACGTGCCTCTGTACATCAGGAGAGCTGAACTATTTCCACGGGAGTCGGGACTAAGGAGAAAGGAGCCTCTCAGCCACGTCAGCTTTTTGCATCTCAGCTTAGGATTGTGAGGATTTAAGAGCTTTCAAACTGCCCACAACCCAGGGGCAGCAGGGGTGGAGCCTTAATTGTGTCCAGGTGGTTTTCATTGGTCATGATTTCTGAGCCATGTGAAGCAGGGAAATCCTTCCCTCTTGGGGGACAGGTGTGAACACGGACATGCGCACAGAGATGCCTTAAGTTCCTGGCCACATTTCATAGTCTGATTTATTTGGATGCCTTCAGACTCCAAATTCAGCGCCTCTCTGTCCACATGTATAAGAAGATTTGTGGATTTAAATTCCTCTTCTGAAGCTGAGAATATGAAAACATAGCCAGCTCCTTCTCACATGACCCTAATCCTGGTTAATTCAGCTCCTCTGGGGCAATTGTCCAGCTGCCCCTTCTGAACTGCCATTGGGATTCAAGGGTGTCTTTTTGTCTCCTGCATCCCCAGCCAGGGAGCCGGGGTCAGAGGAGGAAGCTGTGTGAGTACCACAGAGTTCTCCCAGTGGGCTGGGCGCTGTGTGTGGGGAGGAGAGGGGCCAGCCCTGGTGCAGGTGAGAGTAGGGGCGTTGAGGACCCCAAATGCTAGGCTCAGCCACCTAGATGGAGGCAGGACTGCTCTGCAGACTCCATGGGGCATCGTGCACTCCCCCTCCAGTCCAGCCTCCATATGCCACTGCAGTCACTACCATGTGTCCCCAGGCTGGCTGTGGCTGGCTCCCCATTGTCCTTGTCCCTGGGCCTAACTCCTAGGCAGTGTGCTGTGGCCACCCTGAGGGGTGGTCGTTCCCTGCCAGTACCTACCATCCCATCAGCAGCACTGTGTGCATTTCCAGGAGGGGATTCTCTGCGGGCTCCACCCTCCCCATCCAGACCGCAGCTCCCCAACTCCGAAGCTCCATCCCACTGGGTGCCTGCTCCCCAGAGCTTTCCCTTCAGTGGTGCTAGTCTGAATCACTAAGGTGGGCAGAAAGACTGGTTCCTTGCGAACAGATAGGCACACGTGAACTGGGTCATGGTATGCGCTGGTTCTGTCCCAGCCCATGATGGCCTTGCTTCCTGGCAGTGAAGGCAGGCACGTACCAGGCACGTTCAGTGGTGCACCACAGGTGTCCTTGTACACCTGACTGAGCAGAAAGACAGTGCCACACAGGGGAGCAGGCTTAGGTAACCTTCAACAAGCTTCCAAGTCCCAGGGCTCCCCCTCCTCATCTGTTAAATGGGGTGATTGCCCCATGTCTGCCACTGGACCCGATCCCCTTGTTTCACATCCTGCCTTGTCCCGGGGAGCTGTGTCAGATGGTGACAGTGTCTGGGATAATGAAGGCAGGTGTTGGGTCTACCAGCTAGATCCTGAGTAGGGAGGGAGGGAGGGAGGGAAGGAGGGAAGGAGGGAGGGAAGGAGGGAAGGAGGGAGGGAGGGAGGGAGGGAGGGAGGGAAGCAGTAATATGCCACTGGTCACCAGATTTGGTTTGGGATATCCTGTGAGAATTTATCTGTGGGAGAACACTGGGGATTCTTCTCATAGCCCAGCTGGAGTAAGCGTGGACTACAGAGGAAGAGTGGGCAGGTCAAAGGAAAGAGGGCTTAGGAGTAGGGGTGATTAAACTGCAGGAATAGGGGTGTCCCAGCCTCAGTTAGCCTGCAGAACAGCCAGGGCAAAGTCCCTGTGGCTCATGCTGGCATTGGCTGCAGTTTCTGTGGGAAAACCATGCTGGGGAGGGGGCTGGTGGCCTTCACCCAGGAACCTCAGGGAGGAGTGCCCTGAGGGGCACAAGGGAGCCTGATGATAGGTGAGCATCTGCAACAGCTGCCGGGAGGTTTGAGAGGATCCCAGAAAGAGTAGCAGCCGGAGGTGGGAAGGAAGACAGGGCTCAGAGGATACGGTGTGCTGATGGACAGCAGCCTGGTTCCCACGAGGGTGGGAGACAGGGCTGCCTGAGTGGTACCTCCGTGCACAGCCTGGACAAGCCACCCAGGAACAGTTCCCTTGGAGTTATGCAACAGACTGCACAGGGCTGGCCAACCTGCTGGCAGGATGCAGCCGATCGATGCTCCCAAGGTGAGCAGCAGAGGGGAGTTTAGTGGAAGGGTTACTTGCAGAATCATGGTGTGCTGCAGTCCCTGACAATAGAAACGCTGGGAATGATTCTGACCCTGGGCTGCAGGGATAAGAGGAAAAGATCTGCTGGGACCTCAAGACAAACCAGCGTAGGAACAAGGACCATTCGGTAAGAGCAGCATGGCTCTAGCCCCTGGCTGCACTTGGCCAGTGGCTTTACTTCCCTGGTCAAAGCCAGTAGGATTCCAAAGCTCAGTTCTCTGGGCAGCTACCCAGCAGACTCTGTCACTCAGGCAGGAGGAAGTCCCTGCCTCTCCCTGCCGCTCATCCAGAGGTCACTGGCCCATTGCCAGTGTTTTTGGGAAAGTAGTTTCCAGACTTCCAGCCCCTGCCTTACAGAGTACAGAATGGAAGACACTGAAGAAAACCTAGACTTCAGTAAACAGTGGCCAGCACTAGGGATCTTGTGGCAGCAAGGAACAAATGCCCTAAAGGCCTCAGATAAAAGCAGAGTTGATCACCAGCAGTTATGCCTTTGAAGAGAAGTTTGGATCATGAGAACTGCAGGCACCTCCCTAGCCCTGGCCACAATCTCTGATCTTAATGACCAGCCCGCAGTGTTCTCCTTGAATGTGTCTTTATGCCTCTTATCTCAAAGATCTCCAGTGTGTGACAGCCGGAGAGCTGCACTAGCAAGGAGGCTGGCCACCCAGCCTCAGCCACTGGAGCCCAGAGCACTGTGAGGCGCAAGGCCATAAATGAGGCATCACCGGAAGTGGAGGCCCTGGTGGAGAGGGTGCTTGTTTTGTCTGCCCCAGCAAACCCTGACCCAGTGTTTCTCAGGAGCCAGATTCTCTGGGCGAGAGATCAGAGCTGAAGTCAGACATACCCCTGCATAATAACAGGTCGGCCACAGGGACTCTTCCCAAAGTATAGTTTCCAGGGCCAATCTCTTGTTCCTGGAAATCCATGCCAGGCATAGAGCAGATGTACAGGGTACAGGACAGGAAGAGAGCAAGGAAGGAGGGAACTGGGTATAGATGCAAGTTCTGGGGAAGCATTCTATATAATACAGAAGAGTCAGGTTCAAGTCCACTCTGTATTTCCTGGTTGTACAGACTCTGGACTTCAGAGCCCTCCTATCTATACATGTGAACTGAGCCTCTGTTAATGCTGAGCATCTCTCACCTTAACCCAATGCTTTCTTTTGAGGAGTTCACTCCTTAACCCTGTCTTGAGGTAAAGATCAGTGATGTAGATTGGTTTACCCAGAACCTCTCAGCTGGGAAGCAGCAGACCCAGCATTCATGCTCAGGACTGGCTACACCCAAGCCTGTGTTCTGTCCATCACCCACTATTGGCATGGGTTGCAAACTACAAAGAACAATGCAAAGGACAGGCTGTCCCCCGTCCATCACTGGCTCCCTTCCCCCAGGCAGGTAGAAAGCTTGGGCACTGCCAGGCAATGGGCTTGAGTTCTAGGCATGCGCAGCAGGAGACTCAAAGTAACTACTCACTGGAACACTGGAAGGAGTAAAGACACCTGAGGAAGGTCTCTTAGGGTGGTGAACGTGGCTGCAGAGCCTCACAAGAGTCAGCCCAAAGCTCAGCCCCCATTCCTGGTCCTAACTTCCTAACCACATCCTGACTTGAGGCCTGGAAGATGCTGTGCCCTCTGGGTCTAGAAATCCTTGGGAACGCTGATGTCCATCCTCTTCCCAGAGTGCATTAGGACCCCTTCCCTACAGGCCCTAGAGATCCTGGCCACTGAAGCAGAAAGCAATGAAGGCTCAGCCATCTAGTGCCTCTGAGAACTAAGACAAGTCCAGTCATCGAGAACCAACATGCTTACCACGACCCTGGTTTGCAGCCGTTGATTCCTCATTTCACTTGGCCTAAGTAACTCTGCCAATAAGCATGCAAGATTTTGATGAAAAGTTCAAATCTCAGGGAGGAAGAGCAGAAGGTCCTGTGTGGTACACTGCTCTGCCCAGTACCCAGGCTATTTGCTGAGCATCCTTCATTTCATGGAAAGTGGTACAAACTACCACTGAAACAAATAATTAAATATGTAAATTCAGTAGATGCAGAAGAAGAGAGGGTAAATGAGGTGGTTTTCTCGCAAGAGGGTGGAAAGAGAACAACAATCAACCCAAAGAGATTATAAGAAAGGAAAGAGCGAAGCCAAGGGAAAGATGGATAAAATAGAGCGATAGTACTTGGGCATGCAGGAGGCAGAAGCTGGGGCCCGGGCACTGGCTTTGCAGGGCCGAGGACTCAGCAGTGCAGGCCAAAGACAGGGCCTGGGTGGACGGGGCAGCCTCGGGAGTGGCACCTGCTGAGTTCTGAGGAATGAGCAAGAACATGCCAGGTGACGTGGCTTTTCTGGAAGAGGCCATATACCCTGGGCAGGGGCCAAGGAACAGGAGCAGCTGCCACCTGGGGTTACTCACGTTGCCTTTACTTGCAAACAGTGTGCTGTACACAACAAAGGAGATGGAGTGGGTAACTGAAAAGTCACAGAGCAGGGCTGGCTGCAGGCCTGGCTAGGTCAGACCTTTCCCACCACCCTTCTGGGCCTTTGTGCAGCACCACTGTCCTTCCTGTGGGCTAGCGTTATACCCGGAACTTTGAAGCACATCTTTAAATGTTAGGTATTTTTTCTTTCAGAGATAAGTAACTTCTACAGACTTCATCCTGCTGCACACACAAGCCAACACCCCTTCCTCTCCTCACCACAAAAGCAGAGACAGAAAAAGCAGGTGCTGGATCCAGAAGGTCAGAGCCCAGCATCCTTTCTAAAGAGAAAAACCAGCTAGAGCCATAAAGCAAGTGTGGGGATCTACGTCATCTCCCCACACTCTCCTCCCCTCTGTTCCTCACCATGAAAAACTCTTGCCCACCTGCACACAGGGGGGCTTTGATTTTTTTCTTACTTGTGCTGGTAGTGGTGGTGAAATTCAGAACAGGGCAGAAACTACAGGAGCCAGAGAGGCAAAGGACCAGGTGTCACAATCACCCCCACTCTGCCCTCAGAGAGTTGCTAACTAACTGGTCACACACTTGTGTGGAATGCTTGACCATGCTGGGCTGTGCAGACACCCATGGGGCGTGTGCTTTGCAACCTTGCAAACAGATACAAGCACCCCACTGTGTACACATACACACTGAGGCTCCGCTGAGAGACTGCGGAAGGCACAGGTGAAGTGTGGAGAGAGAAACACTTCTATAACCCTTGTTCTCTACCTTCTTTTCTATGCAGATGACAGCCTCTGTGCCCTCATCAAGACAGTCACTTAACTGCCACCTCCCTGGCGACAGCATGGAACAGTCAAGCATCTAATTAAGGATCACCATACACCACACTTTCTGGGGTCACCAAGGCATCCCTGCAGCTTCCAAGAACTTCCTGCCAAGTCCTCACCCCTGAAGGTCCCCAGATTGAATGGAACAGGAAATCACTGTTATTATGTTTAATTAGAATCTCATCTAGAGGCATGTCATTGGCCCTTTCAGGACTGCAGAAGAAGTCGGCTACCTTTTATCCTAAAGAACAAATCCAGCACACCACAGATGGCCCTTGTGTGTCACATGGGCACATCCAGAACACAGGGGCGGCTGCTTCACCATGGGAATGAAGTTGGCCTAAGCTACCCTTGAGACTCCTGAAGATCCTCCATCCCTTCCAGCTGCACCTCCACCTCTAGTGTCTCTACTCAGGGAGTTGGGGTACCCCTCCCGCCCCTCAGCAGGAAGCGAAGATGATGACCACACAGAAGAAGGTCCTCAAGGTGCTCACCTTGCTGGTGCTCTTCATCTTCCTCACCTCCTTTGTCCTCAACTTCTCGCACACGGCAGTGCCTGCTGCCTGGTTCCCCAAGCAGATAGTCCTCGAGCTGTCGCAGAACCTCAGGAAGCTGATCAAGTCCCGGCCTTGCACCTGCGCACACTGCATCAGCCAGAGCAAGGTCTCAGCTTGGTTCGACAAGCGCTTCAACCAGTCGGTGCAGCCGCTGCTGACGGCCCACAGTGCGGTCCTGGAGGAAGACGCATACCAGTGGTGGCTGGTGAGGCTGGTGGCCTGAGCGGGGCTTGGCAGGGCAGGGGTGCTCAGAGCTGGATACCCACCTGTGGCAGCTTTCAGGCTGTCATCTGTTCCTTCCCTTGACAACTGTGCATTGAGCATCTACTGTGTGTAAGTCACAGCAAGTAATACCAAATTAGTTTCTAATGACTACCACAGCCAATGGCCATAAGCCAGGGGGCTTAAAAGAGCAGAAATCTTTTCCCTCCCACTTCTAGAAATGAGAAATCCAAAATCAAGGTGTGGCCAGGGTTGGCTCCTGGCCATGCTTGGCATCCCGTGGCTCAAGCCTGCCACCTCCCTGCATGCCTTCTCCTCTGTCTCCTTGCATCTCTGGCCTCCCTCCCTCCTTAGGACACCTATCTCAGGTGTCATGATCTAGACACCCTTAGCAGCCTCCTCTGCAGAGACACTTTTCCCAGGCAAGGTCATGATTTTAGCTTCTGGGAATGGCTCCTGGTCACCTACTACAGGCATCAAAATGCAAGGAAGGTTGTGCTCATGGGATTTTTATTTGGCCAGGTGATACGCACAAGAAACAAAGCAAATGTAAATGTCCCTTTGTATCTGGCTCCAGGTTGCTCTGGATAGCACAACCCATAGACACTCAAGTCCCCTGATACGCACAGTGCAGTATTTATATAGAACTTGCACTCCTCCTGTCATGTACTTGAAGTCATGTCTAGATAGCTTAGGTACCTGACACAGTGTCAGTGCCAAGCAAATGCTACACTGAGTTGTCCAGGTAAGGATGGCAAGGGAAAGGTCCTGTGCGTGTTTGGCACAATGTTCTGTATGCCTGGTGGAAGGTGGGTGGGAAGCCTATGGCTCAGAGGGCTAAGGTGCTCCAGGTGGGCACGGCTGGCAGTGCTCTCGGGAAGGCGGAGTGAGCTTGGGGTAGTGAGAAGAAGTGTGTAGGGCGGCCTCTGTGAGTGGGGTTGTTAGGAGGATGTTAAGCAGACAGAATCTAAGCTGAGCCCTAAATGCAGAGGGCAGGCACGGCAGTGGATGGGTGGGGATGCTAAGATACAGAAAAACACCTCAGGCTTGCCTGGCTCCACCGTGATGCTGTCAGGAGAGAACCCCAGGCAAGGTCTAGACCTCACATCTAGGAGCAGATCTGGGTCCCAAAGTGTAGGCTCTGTCCCCTGGAGACAAGATAAGGGCATTAGGGAACATTGTGTCGCAGAGTGAGGCACCAGTCCCAGGGGTAGTTCTCCTTCTGTCTTCAGCACAAGGACTTCAGTCTGGCTCAGTATCTCACTGTGCCCCTGCTGCAGCTGTTGCCACACCTTGGTCTAACAGAAAGGAAGGACAGCTTGTGAGCAGGTGGCAGCACCAGGCTGGCACCGAATATACTGTGTTTGCCTTGCTCTGGGCCAAGCACTGCTTCTCCACTTCTGGCAGTATGCCTGGGAATGGGATGGTTGAGTTGTAGGAGAGTCCTGAGTTTGCCCTTGTGAGAAGCCACCAACCTGTCTTCCACCGTGGTCCACTCCCACCCATGATGCCCAAGGGCTCCCTCTTCTCTACTTCCTCCCCAGCACAAGTTCTCTTCCTTCTGTTGTGCAAACCATGCTGGTGGGTGTGAGGTGTGGTCTGCAGAAAGTGCCCCGTGCTTCCCTGTGGTGGGCTGCGTCAGTCCAGATTCTACTGTCATGATGAAATACCTGAGGCAGACTACTTTATAAAGAGGTGAACCTTGGCTCCCAGTTGTGTGGAGGAGGGCCAGCATCTGGTGATAGGCTTCCTACTGGCAGAGTCCCCAGGAGAAGGGAACTTCTGTGGTAAGGCACAGGAGCGTGTGTGTGTGTGTGCGCACGCGCGTGCACGTGTGAGCATGCTGCTCTGTGTCCTTATACACCTACCAATACCCAATAGGAGGATGGGATGCTGCATGACACATGACCTTTTCTAACCCTAATCAGAAAGCCTGCACCGAGCGTCATAATCAGATTAAGCCCCTACCTTGTTAATACTTTATAATAGGGATCAAACTGAACATCGGAGGCCTTGGGGTCCCTCAGACCACACCTGAACCATCACACCACATGTCTCCTGGCCTAGTGCTAAGAAAGATGCTGTATGGTTCTCACTAGAGAGCAGAGGGGTCTCCTGGGAAGCCTCCTTCAGAGGCATTCAGATTCCTTTAGTCTCATGCAAAGTTCTCCCCCACACTCACATGGGCACTGGCCTTCATGAGCAAGGCCTAAGGACATTGTTGCCACTTCATTCTCTCCCAGCCTCCTCTGTCCCTTGGGCTAGGGTAGCTGATGGGAATCATCCCCTTGTCGTGTCCCCGGATCCCCAACTCTTAGGAGCCCAAGAGCTAGAAGTAGTGGCTGTGTTCTTGGAGGTACCATAAGGTGGGTTCCTGAAAGCCAGGGTTCAGATCCTAGTTGACAGTCCCTGAACCTAGCTGGCTCACCAAAATGGTACAACATCATGGCGTGAATTCTTCCAGACTCTTCCAGAACTCACTGTGGCTGAGGAAGGCTATGCATCCCCAGGAACCACTACACAACCTGGCCAAAGGCTCCTGCTCCCCAGGGACACTGGGTGGACTGGTATTGCAGGGTGGCAGCCAACAGGGTGATCCACCCATCCTGCTTTTAGTGCTGACACCCCTGCATCTAGGGGACCCCCTTGGTGTTAGGCAAGCAAGGAGACAGGTCCCTGCAGGTTGTCTGAGGGCCAGGCAGGGAGTTCTGGCTTCACCAACATTTGCACTGCATTTTAGAAGATGTACAGCATTTGCTAGGCAGATGTCAGAGGTCTCTGTGCATCCCCAGGATGGCTGACTCTTTGGTTGGAGCTCAGAAATCCAGGGCTTCTGAGGAGCAGAAGGTGAGGGCGTCGGAAGTGGGTGTGGGGTCGGAGTCTTCCTGCTGCCAGCAAGAAGAGACTAGCACTGTACCTACCCGCTGCTGGTCCTGTGCAGACACGAATAGTGGTGTGCAGCCCTGACTGTGTCTGGGTTTGCAAAGACCAGGCACCTTACTGGGAGTGAGTGACCTTCCAAGATTCTGGCTGTGCTCCTCAGGGAGTGGAGTCCTCTCAGAGAGAGAACCCTGAGGGAGGAGTAGGCTGGGCCATGCCAAGTGTCAAGGGCCTGTGAAGCCACAGGTGGTGGGCCTTCGCCGCCTCCACATGCCCACCTTGTGTGAGGCTGTGTTCCTGTCTCAAGAAGCTTGTGCAGCTTCCTACACATTGAGGTGCTCTGTGGGCATTTGCAGAGTGAGTGCCAGACCTTTCCTTTCTGTCCTATTTCCTGAGTAGCACTTGGGCTCCTTGTTCAGGAGGCGGAGCAACTGTGTCAAAACCTCTGTACCCAGTCCTACAGAGAAGGACACATGTGAGGCCACAGTAATCACAGTGAAGGGGTCTTGGTTTCAGTCACTGAGAAGTGGTGCCAATCTGCCCAAGGCAGCCCCTCTAAACCCACCCGTCTTCTTGTGCCCTGTGCTCTAGAGGCTGCAGAGGGAGAAGAAACCCAGCAACCTGAGCAGTGTCATCAAGGAGCTGTTCAGCGTGGTGCCAGGGGACGTGGACCCCTTGCTGGACAAGAGGTCGGTGGGTTGCCGGCGCTGTGCCGTCGTGGGCAACTCAGGCAATCTGCGGGAGTCCTTGTACGGGCCTGAGATAGACAGCCATGACTTTGTGCTCAGGTAAGTACTTGGCCCTCCTTCCGGGCCCTCCTCGCCACACCCAGCAGCCTCCAAGCTATGGGAAGCACCCTGGCTCAGGTTGAAGGCCCAGCTTCCAGTCTTGGGGCCTCGGCCGTTCACAGGGATGCAGGCTTCTCACTGTGCCCTCTCAGGGTCAGTGTTCCCATCTTTGCATTGCTGGGTGGGATGGACTAGAAGGGCCTCTGTGGAAGCCCAGAGGTCCCCAACAGGCTCAGCATGGCATGAGCAGCCTTGGATTGGGCCAGGCTGCTGGAAGCCTCTGATTCTACATTCCGTATTCCCCCAGTCTACAGCCTGCGCTCTCACCACAAGGTGTACTAACTCTGCCTCCACGTACCACAGGCATCACAGAAGCCCAGTCTGCCCTGGATTTCCTACAGTCCTTATCACGTACTCACCCGTGCCCCAGGACAGAGACATGGACCTGTTGTACAGACGTAGCACGGGCTGGCCACAGCGTCTTCTAGAACAGGCTCTATTTCTCCACCTCTGTGGCTTTGCTTGGTGGATATTTAAATTTTTAAAACTGTATTACAGTAAAAGACACGCTGCCATTAGTACCCCGTACCCCCCCCCCCGAACCCTTTTTTTCACTGCAGACGCACTCATTGCCTCATCCTGGCCGCTTCTGGAAGCCCCTCCGGAAGCCTTCTCTCAGTTCCTTGCGTGTGCGCTGTTGCAACTGCCTCAACATCCTGAATTGATTCAAAACATTTTTTTTACCTTTTGTGGTTGTTTTAACTTGGAAAAAGAGTCAGAAATTCACAGTGCCAGATCTGGTGAATAAGGTGTACAAGGACATATTATAATGTTTATTATTATTATTATTATTATTATTATTATTATTATTTGGTACAGGGTCTCACTAAGCAGCTCAGAGTTGTAGTGATCCTCCTATGCTGAGCTTTTCCAGTGTTGAGATTACAGGTGTGCACCACCATGCCCAGACTCAGTAGCTGGGTCAGTGTACCTGAGGGCAGGGCCAGCATGGAATGTGGTGCCGGGTATTGAACCCCAGTCCCTGTGCTTGCCTAAGCAGGCACTTAGTCTGCCGAGCTATCTCTCCGACCCTATGATGGTTTCTGCTGGGCAGAAATTGCCATTGATGTGTGATCAGCACAACGTGATCAAAAACACAATGAATGTTTAAGTTAAAAAATTTACTATAGTGAAAGAAATATTGCCCTTAATCCCTGTCAAAATACTCCCCTCACTTTAAACACACTCATTTCATCTCCCTTGGCGATGTCACTTTACAGTAGTAAGTTGCTTTACATGTAAACATGCTCTTGTCTGTCCATCACCCCTTGTCATTTATTCCTTGTATCTCTGTCATTATGTCCTGTACACCTCACCCAGCTACTCAGTGTGCCTGTCCACAGTCAGGGCAGAGTCAGTTTTGAGTCAGACAGGCTCAAGTCCATGGCTGGCACTTGGTAGCTCCATTACCTAGAACAACCTGTCTGAGCTCAGCTTTTTCAACCATTAGAAAACAACCTACAGTAGCTACAGGTGTGGTCCCATAACAGAGATGAGCGCTCATGGGAAGTGTTTCTCTCACTTGAGTCAGAAAAGCAAAAAACCCCAGAACTCTGGCCTGTGTCTTACCTACCCTCATGGTGGGACATTGAGGCTGGAGACAAAGAGGCTTCGCTTCAAGGCACAGCCCAGCGGCAGCCCTGCAGCACCCCGTGACACCCAGGCCATGGGAGGTATCTCACTGCCTTCTTTCCCCAGGATGAACAAGGCGCCCACAGTGGGCTTTGAAGCTGATGTGGGGAGCAAGACCACACACCATCTGGTATATCCCGAGAGCTTCCGGGAGCTGGGGGCAAACGTCCACATGATCCTGGTCCCCTTCAAGACCCTCGACTTGCAGTGGGTTATCAGTGCCACCACCACCGGTACCATCTCCCAGTGAGTCCTCTTCTCCTTGGGCCACCTCTGCCCTCTCATGCCCCAGCCCTCCTGTGCCTCACTGTCTTTGCTATCCTGGGCACCAGCCCCACCTGGATACACATACCCCTCTCCTGTCACATCTACCAAGCCACAGGCTTTACTGTACTCCTACTAAAGGCTCCAAATGGACCCTGAATTTGCTTCCCCAAATACCCCTCTAATTCTCAAGTGCCCCCTGAAATCACTTCGTTTTTTAAAGCATAAAGTGTCCCGGGCTGGGGTGCGAGGCTGGGGATGCAGCAGCTCTCAGAACCTGAGGCCCAGCCTAACAATTGCCTGAGGTTAACTGAACCTGAGCCAGAGCTTAGGTAACTACCTGGGTCCAATCCCTTTGTCCCCAGGGATCTCTCAGAAAGGAGTGGCTCCCACTGCCAGCATTTCACAGCCCTCCTGGTGTCAGGCCAGGCCTGCCAGGAGTTTGAGGCCTGGCACTGTGTTGGGTTGGGCCTTTGGATGTAGGCAGGTAGTGAGGGAGCAGCCCAGGCAGAGGGGAAGTGGGTCAAGCAACTGTTCTGAAGGCAGGGCCCCTCCTAGCATCTCTGGGAAAATGGGTATCAAATTACAGAGTACCCTAGAAAGCGTGTGTCAAGGTTGCCCTCTGCTGTCTGAAGGGGCGACCACAGGAGGGGCTCAGCTGGGACAGGGAGGAGGTGGTGCGAGAGTGAGGACAGGCAGGCAAGGCCCTCTTCACCCCACCTCACTCCCAGGAGACTCCTCCCTCCTTGACCATCTCCTCTTCCCTTGATTGCAGCACGTACATCCCAGTTCCCACGAAGATCAAAGTGAAGCAAGACAAGGTGCGTAGGGGCTCCACAAAGCAGAGTGTCAGCCCACTTGGGCTTCTCCCCCGAAAAGAGGTCAGCAGTGGGAGAGGTCTTCATGGTGGGGAGGGTGCATGTTGCAGGCAGGAGACCCTCAGGCCACCCAGGCATGCTGCCCCAGCTGCTGTGGTGCTGCCCAGCAGCCTGCGCTTCCTGAACCCTGCAGGCGCTGCAGAGCCTTGGCTCCTCCTGGATGAGGGAGGGGGAGGGGGCATCAGTGTCTGGCGATTTGGGGAGAAATGATTCCCAGAAGTGACCACTTCTAGGCAAAGCAAAAGCAAGTGGCTATGCGAGAGAGAGAGAGAGAGAGAGAGAGAGGCAGAGACAGAGACAGACAGACAGAGACAGAGACAGAGAGACACACACAGATAGACAGACAGACAGACAGGATGCCACTGCCATCTTCTGCTGCTCCCTGAACTCCTAGTGAGCCCAGGTCTCTAGCTGGCCTCCTTGAATTCTGAGGTACATACCACCTCCCCCTGTGCCTTCTCACCTGTACTCTATGGCTGCTGTCTGCGTCAGTCTCCTCTGGATCCGTCCATCCTCCTTTTCCACATCTCTTGGGAATGCAGGCTGTGGCCCATCCTCCCTAGCACAGAAGCCTACAGCTCAAGGATGGCTTTTGGGGTCCCTCTTAACTGTATCCCCATGGCCCCACGAGCATGACAGTATGTGGCACTCCATAGGGTCCCATGACTGTTTCCCAGACTCACCCAGGGCCCATCCTCTTCCTGCAGATCCTGATCTACCACCCAGCCTTCATCAAGTACGTCTTTGACAACTGGCTACAGGGCCATGGGCGGTACCCGTCCACCGGCCTGCTCTCAGTCATCTTCTCCCTGCATGTCTGTGATGAGGTACGTAACCTCTGCGCACTGCAGACTGCTGGGGACCGGGGCCTGCCACTCTGAAGAAGCTCAGCATCGCTGTCTCTACCTGGGCCTCCCGAGGGCCCACCTCATGAGACTTTTCAGGAGTGACCCAGTTGTATGAAAAAGTTCCCAGGCACAAGAATCTGGCGCATCCTGGTCACTGCCCAAGGCGAGCCACGATGAGGGCTGGGGAGCTCAGGTTCAGCCCCAAAACGAAAGACCAGCAGGAAGAGCCCTTTAACGGCGTGGCACCTACGTGGCTCAGTTCTAACACTGACATTCGAATCACCTGTGGAGCTATGCTCAACACTCAGACCACAGCACGACCCACTTTCCTGTCTGCCATCCCCTGCTGTCCCCTCCCAGTTCCCACCCACATTTCCCATCTCCTGTCTCTTCCCCTTTGGGGTTCTGTCTAGAAGAGCTGACCTCATGCTGTCCTGCCTCATGTATCCTTGTGCCGCAGGCTGAGTCATGCAGGCACTAATATCTGTGGTTTCCATGGAGCTGTCCCCTGCCTCTTCTTTGTCCCCACCCCTCAGCTGTGTCCTTGGGGCCTCAGTCTGTGGCATGCGCTCTCCCCCTAGTCCCCTCTCGTGGCTCCTGCGTAGTCATCTTCTACTCAGAGACCCAACTCTGGTGTCTCCTGCTTGTAAGATCCTCCTCTAACCCTCAGGCCCTCCCTCCGCTCCTCGGGTTGAACAGAGCCCTGAGTTCAGCCCCTGTTCCTCTGAGAATGACTCGGTCTTAGCAGCAACTTTGTTCTGTTATAATGTGCTCCAAAGCCGAGCCCTGCCCTGAACGCTTCTGATTTCCCCAGCCCTGCCTTGGTGGTGTCTGGCATGCCTGACAGTGCCAGGCGCATGCTTAGTACTTAGTCATGCGTGTCACACATGTCACAGCCTAAGCCCCTACAATGAAGGCCACCAAGCCAGGTGGATGTTGTCCTCACAGAAGAGACAGATCAGTTCCTGTTGCCTGCCTTTTCTGAACATGATTCTTGGCCCCACTTTCAGATGAGGACAGTGAGGCTCAGAGAAGTGCTTTCACACAACCTGAGCCAGTCACATAAGGGTACATCTTCTGGGCTCTGAAGCCCACTGCCCCTGCCTCAGGACTGCAGCCTTGGAGAAGGGGGCGACATTCCTTGGCTCAAGGGAGCCCAGCCCACCTTGGGACCACCACCTGTAGTCAGCTCTCAAGGGCCTACAGGCTGGCATAGAACTTGAGTTTTGCTTCAGTTGCTTTCCCTTCCCTGAGCCCTGGGAAATCCAAGAAGCTGGAAAGGGATTTGTCTGAATGCTGGACATAGCCCAGTGTTGGAGGCCATTAACCGGTATCCATTCTATTCCCCTGCTGAGTCAAATTTATGGCCCTTCTCACCTTGCCCATTCCCTGTGAATCACATGCTATGCCCCAGGGGTTGCACCTTCCCTGTTGCCTAGATACCTGCTGACCCCAAGAGCTGAGACTTCCTCATTCCATCACCCCATATATATACCCAGAACCTCCCCTAAATAAACAAGGCTTGATCAGAATCTTTGTCTTGCCTCCATTTCTCATGTCTCCTGTCCTTTGTCCCCTCTTCAGTTCCCCGCTCCTCCACCAGGTGACCTTCATTGACTGACCCGCTGGTTCAGGACAGCCCGGCATGTAGGGTTTTAGGGTGCCTGCAGGCTCTCTGTCTGGAGGACTCTACCGTGTCTCTACATCTAATCCTCATCTTTGCTTCACCCCTGCAGGTGGACTTGTATGGCTTTGGAGCAGACAGCAAGGGGAACTGGCACCACTACTGGGAGAACAACCCTTCGGCAGGGGCTTTCCGAAAGACAGGAGTGCATGATGGGGACTTTGAGTCCAATGTGACGGCCGCTTTGGCGTCCATCAACAAAATCCGGATCTTCAAGGGGAGATGATGCTCCGAAGGTCAAGGATGGACTTACCACATCTCGCTTGTCAGTTTTGGCCCCAGTATCTCCCCGGGGCTGGTCCCTCCTAGGAGCTCCAGAGCCAGCCTCAGGCTGCCCAGGCACTGCCCTCAGCCTCCTGCACTCCCACCTTAGGCAGCATTGACTCCGCAAAGTCACCTACTCTGCTGGGGCTGCGCAGCGAGTCCTGTGCTGCAGCGCTCCCTGCACCGCTGTCCCAATGCTGGAGTCGGGGAGCGATGCTGCGAAAGGTAATTATTTTGGCTTCTGGGGTGGGGCAATATTAAAAATTCCCGTATTCTATGAAGACAGACAAGTTCCCAGGAAAGATGGGCCAAGGCCAGTTGCCACTGCAAGATTCTACACTGACTCTGAAACTCCCATTCTCACTGGGATATTTGTTAGTAACAGTGACCTCTGGTTTGGAGCTCGCTGGGCAGTGCAGGCAGGCACGGGAGCAAGACACTTCTGCCTGTTTGCCGGGAAGTCGGACTTCTCTCCAGGTGACAGCCCTGTTCGTGTCTTCCTGAAGCTCACGGATGAGGACACGGTGAGCCAGTAGACTCCAGAGGTCTTCATAGGAACGTGGCCACGTTTCCAGCAGGAGCTGCTGCTTCTGCCTACTTGGGTACTTCCTCCACATCCAGCTCTGGGTTCTAATCAGGGCCGAGAGCAGATCTGACTACTTCATGTGCCTTTGTGTTTGGGGAAGAATTGCAAGTACTGGCTGAAACGAGGCTAAAGCCGCAGCTCCGGGAAGAGAGCCCCCTGCTGCCCAGCTGGAAGCCTCTTGTCCGTTTCCTGAGCCAGCGCCTGAGTGGGAGCAAGGTTCAGATGACACTTCGGGGTACACTGGCTGTGGCATCCAGCAGATTTCCCGGGACTGTTGGGTTCGGTGCTTGTAACTTCTCCAGCCAAGTAGGACCTCCCAGCCAGTGTATCTCCCGGTGCCTGAGCTCTGGGCTGCCTTTGCGGGGGTCCTGGGGCCAGGGTGGGGGGATTCCAAGGAGTGGCGACCAGCACATACCTCGTCTCCTCACTCTCACCCTCCATCTCTCTCCTTCTCCTCTGAGTTCCTGATTATTTATTGATTTTTTAAATTCAACTGACATGTGTGTGCTCCAGCTGCGTTGCCACCCCTGGCGTTTCCACCAAGTTTCTGTTTCTTCTCCTGCATCTGGGAGCAGGGATTTTAAAGGAGGGCTTCTAGGAATCCTCGTTCTTGGGGAATAAGGCATCGAAGCTGGATGTGGCCAGAACGGGCTGCAGCGCTAACGCTGTGGGCTGTGAGCTGGTGCTGGCCACCTCCCCTCCAGCACTGGCCTCCCTCCTCCTGGCCCAGTTTGTTCTCGGGCTAGGAGTGTCCCGCTCACACCACCTCACTGGCTGGGGGAACAGAACAGCCAGCACAGGGACAGTGACCGTTGGTTATAGTCACTGACACTCTACGAGAAAAGCCACTTGCTAAGGAGAACATTTCCCAAAGGCAGGTGTTTGGCGAGGAGGTGGGACAGTCTCCGGATAGAGAAGGTTGGGTCTCTCCCAGAGTGGCAGGGCCACTGCAGACCAGGAGGCTGGGAGGCCCGGAGCTCAGGGACCTTGGTCATGGGCCACACCTGGCATCAGACCACGTACAAAAGTTCCTGGGAAATGCATGCCGCATTTGCTTTTACCCTTGGGCCTGTGCAGATGAGCGTGTTAGGTTCTCAGAGATTCAGGTATCCAGAAGGGGTATTTTTGTTTCTTTAGTTTTTGTTTAGAACTCAGTACCTGTTCCTGCTTTAAGAAACTTTCCAGACTTAGGATTCTTACCTGATACTAGCTGGTAAATCGGGAGGGCCTCCTTGTGAACGTGCCTCTTCACGTGTCATAAATCACAGTCACACGGCAAGAGCAGAGCTTAGCGCTTGCGTGTTGGTTGTCTGATCCACTGCTGGGTTAAAAATTGAGACAAGTGCGCATGCGCACAGTGAGCAGCGGGGACCCTGGCTGCCCCCTCGCCTAGGCGCTGAGACTGTTCAGAGAGGACAGCTTGGGGTGGAACAGTCTACTTGCTTGGGTCTGCTGAGTAGGAAGAGGTCTCCGAGTGAGGCTGTGCCTCCGTCTGAGCCCGAAGTAGCGTGAGTGGCCTGCCGGGTCTCCCTCTGCCTCCCCTCTGTGGAAGGAGGTCCAGCCGCGACCCCGCCCGCACCCTCCAAACAGCTCTGCATTTTACAGGTGAGACCAGCAAGGTTCAAGGAAGGGGTGCGACTTCTGGGTCATAGGAGTGACCAGTTGTGACAGCGCAAGTCAAGGAGAATTAGAGAAAAACTAGGATGGTTTGGCTTCACATTTAAAACGGACAGACGTTGGGGCTGGGGAGATGGCTCAATGGAATAAGCGCTTCCCTGGCAAGCGCAAGGGTCTGAGTTCAATCCCTGGTTCCGCCAAAAAATAAAAAAAAAAAAAATAAAATGGACAGACGAGCTTTCCTGGTGAGATCTCACCCAGCCTCCGAGGAAGAAACCAGATATAGTCGAGGAAAGGACAGATGATGGTCTTCCCCGCATCTCAGCAGACATCTACTTAGCAAGGTGTGCTTAACCAAATAGAACCAGTTGTGGGCTGTGGCTAGAATTAAATGCATGATTGACTTAAGCCTGGGGTGAGAGTAACAGAGAACTAGGCTGTGCTGGAGGCAGGAGCGTGCCCTGGCCGGGAGCCCTACCCTGGGTTCAGGCAGCAAGTGGAAGGGCCCAGGCTGGAAGAGCTGGACCTGAGGGCCCGGACAGGGCCACAGAGGGCCCCTCGGAGGTCTCAGCAGTCCCTCAGTAACCTGGCAGGCACTGTTTCTACAGCCAGCACCATGCACCCCTCCCTCCTTGGTCCTCATCCAGTTAGGATTAAAAGGAGGGTGGATTGGTAACATCTGCCTCCCTGAGGAATGGGGGCAAAATTGTCAAATGGATGTGCTTTGAAACCCTGGCTTTATCAGGTGTGATCCAGCCAATCACATGGACTGAGCTCCCCACAGAAGTCAGATTCTAGGAAATAGGAAGTAGGACAGCAAGGCCAGCAGAGACCAGAGAAGGCGGGCAGAGCAGGAGGGTGTTCTGGGCCCAGGCCAGACTGGGAGGCTTGGGGGAAATCCTACCTCTGCTGTGTCCACAGGGGTGCACTAAGGGCCAATTCTACCTCCATGATAATGGTTCATCTGGCTTTTGGGTCAAAGGTAGAAAGAACATTCAGGCCTTCAATGATTGTCTTGCCTTTTTTTTTTTTTTTTTTAAGAGCCTGAAAGCCAGCAAAGTGGAAAAGAAAATGCTCTTCCCAGGCCACACTGGACATTGTCTGGCCAAAGAGGACGAACCAGTTGGGTGACCCCTGATAACAGAAATTGTCCTCACCCTCCCGAGAGCTCAGGGACACCACTGTGCCCATGGTGGACACCTGGCTTGCAGCAGGCAGGGCCACACAGCACTGTCCCCCTCATGGTGGCCAGGCTGGTGGGTTCTGGGAGCAGCAAGACTCCCTCTCCTTTTTCTGTCAGAAGCACTCCGAGGTGCTAGCTGATCTCTGTCTGTGCAAAGGAAAACTAGATTAGGGAGAAAATGGTAGGGACAGAACAGGCAGGCAGCATCTGGAGCAGGTCCGTAGGGAAGACAGACCTCCCTCCTTGCCAAAAGGGCCCTGAAACTCCAGGGCAGTGAGCCCACCACCCGCCACCTCCTTTCCCCCAGCCCATTCAGACCCTGGCTTTTACACTGGTGCCACGGCTCGCCCGCTGCCAGGCATCTGGCCCAGGGATGGCAGCTTTGTCCCCCGCCTGCTCCAGACCCCAGCCCTCCTGACCCTGTACAATCCTTTTAGTCCTTCACCAGATTCCCTTCAAAGCCAAAGTTTCTCCAGTACTTTTTCTTCTCTGCAGTCTCTTTTACTGGGTTGATGGTGACTTGAAGTGTGCTTTCTCTACCCCTGTACCTCCTTCCTGCTTATTTGCCTGAGTCCTGATTGATCCGGATGGGTTCTGAATGGCATTCGTGAGTCTGCTTCCTTAGCCCCTGCTCTGTTTTATTTATTATTGGGAACCTCCAATGATCTGAATCAAGGTGAATAAAAAAGAATTATTTTATCGTTCGGTTGTGGGTTTTGTTTGTTTGTTTAATACCAGGCCCCGGGAGGTGTTGCCCTGCATGCCTCCCTTCAGCAGATGTTTTCAGTCCCCCTATAGCCAGATGCTTTCTCACTGGGGCCCTAGGGTTAATGTTTGCCCCTACAGAATGCGCAGAGAGGGATATACCTGCACTGGCCTCAGTTGTAGCTTTGCCATCCCCTGCTGTGTCCTTTAATCTCCCTGGACCTCAGCGGCCTTATTTGTCAGCAGAACCCAGCGAGACCAGCCCTCAGGGGGTTAGATCGCACAGTAGGATTCTCAGCAGGCCCAGGGGACACAGGCGATGGGCTCCAAGCACATGATTGGCCAGGGCCTAACCCAAGCCAAGGTAGTATGTGGCTGCCGTGCGCAGAGACAGGCGCATGGACACGCGTCTGATGTGAAGTCGCACAAGTCTCTCATTTGCATTTATTTTTAAAAATAGATCTAGAAACCCAGTCTTGGGACTCCGTACTCTGCAACTGCTGGAAATGTGAATGACGCCCTCCCGTCTCCGGGGCACCTGCAGTCTGCACACCACCTCCTCTGCTTCTGTTCCCTTCCCTTCACTAAGTGCCGGGGGCGGGGGACTCAAATCCAAATGTCTGTACCTGCTCAAAGACCGCCTCCCTCCTGCTCCCTTGCCCACCGCTGGGCCTGTCCAAGCCAGTGCTGAACCCAGAGAGCAGGGTGAAGACTTTTTCACGAAGAAGCACATCCCTGCTGGTCTGGCCACCTCCAGCTGAAACTCTACAGTCCTCACGGAGTTGGCCAGTTCCTCGTAATGAGATGCCAGGACGCTGGCTGAACGATGTCACTACATCCCCTGGTGTTTTGTAAGCACTAACTTCCAGTCCTAAGGACTGAATCACATCAGTGTGTACGCTGATAGTCTAGTGACCATTTTGGTGGTATCTGGCAGTTAAGTCTTGGGAGGCAGTTAAGGTTAGAAAGGTGAGAGGGGTGGGGCCCTCATGATGGGATTAGTGCCCTTAATGATGATGTCTGAGAGGGTTTGCTCCTTCCCTCGCTTCCCTATTTGCTGTATGAGGATGTAGCCTTCTACAAGCTAGGAAGAAGGTTGCTACAGAGCCTAACCTCACTGAGCCCTGATCTCAGATTCTAGTGCGCAGAGTATGAGGTAATAAATCCCTGCTATGTAAGCACCATTGTCAGTGGTAGTTTCGTGTGGCAGAAGATACCCAGGGTTCTCAGGGAAGCCAGGGCCCTGAGGAGCACAGCTCTGGGAAACAGAGTGCCACACCCTTTTGCCTGTGTGCTGCCTGGTCTGCAGCTGGCCTGACTGCTACAAGCAGAAGGTCACATCTGCAGATAGACAAGATAGTTCAGCTGGATGGGGGCAAAGAAGAGGGACTTACATATTCTGCCGCAAGTCTCAGCCACATGCTGTAATTCAGATTGACCCCCAAGCACCGTGAGCCTCCCCCAGGCCCTGCATCAGCTTCTCCATCCACTCAACCCTGGGCCCAAGGGGGGATCGCGACCTAAGATCCTGATGGCTCACAGACAGCTACATGGGCTTAGTCTGACTGCAGGTCATAAAGCCTTCTCTGGAGATGTGAGCTGCCTGCACAGCTGCTGGGAGCAAGTGCTGGTGAGGAGGGAAGTCATGGGTCCCCTGTCAGCCAGAAGGTGGCTACTGGTATGGAAGATGAGGAGGGGAAGGGTGGTCCGGGGACACACGCACCAGCAAGGCCCAGAGACCCGTGTGGCTGCTGCAGGCATGATCAGTCCTCATGGGAAGCCCCGTGCAAGCCAGGCGTGGGCAGCTGTAGCCTGGGGCATGACAGGAGGAAGAGTTGCAGATCTGTGGTGTCCCCTCGTTCAGGGAAGCAAGCCCTCCAAGCACCATGTGGTATGTTCCTTGGTATTGAAGACCTTGGGCCTGGCTTTCCTGAAACTTTGCCCAATCTGGGAGGGATAATTCATCTGAATTTGTCAATAGCAGAACATTCCTTCCACCAACAGAAGTGGGTGGGGTACAGCCGCACCTTGGGGCCCCACAGGCCACGGGAGCCAAGGACCTGCTGCACCCGGGTCTAACCCAGCCTGAAGTCAACTTAGACAGCAGCTGCCAAGTTCTTTTGATGTAGGCCAAGAGCACCAACGAGAGTATCTAGTGGTGATGGCCACAAGGGGGCACAGTGCAACCACCTTGATCCAAATTGCTACAAAGCAGTGTTTGGCTGGAACCCAAATCAGCTTTAGAGCCGCATGAGAAAAGGACATATACCCACAGCTAAGGGCAGAACTCAAAAGGACTTTGCTTTTAACATTGACAAGTCCAACACCTTCTAGATAAGATCAATGTCACACTCACTCAGCTAAGAAAACTGGTCAAGACAAAGTTGGGTCCAGCTGGAAAAAGCTGAGCCACAGGGATGGTTGATGTGTGCTCAGCCCAGAGCCTAGGACCTTGGCTTCCTCTGGTTTCTCTCCGCTGCACCTTGTCCTTGACTGTCCTGTGGCCTGCTGGCCGTGTGATCTGGGGGAGCCACGACTCTGCATCTTTTCTTCTTGCTCTGCAAAACGGCGATCATGTGACATGATGGATATTCAGCAGAGAAGGCTGCAGCATGTTCTGGGTCCTATCTGTGCCCCTGGCTCTAAACATGTGTTTTGTCATCACATTCCCATGACAGCCGTGAACTAGATGGCACCGCTGTCCTCAAGGAGGACTGGGGCACAGAGAAGGCTGGTCATTAGTCTGTGTCCACACAGCTCCTAATTCATCATCCAGAATAGAGATGTGATCCAGCTCTGTATTGGTCAGGAGAGGACAGGCTAACGATACAGTAACAAATAAGACCTTGACAGAACAGCAAGGGCAGGGGGAGGGTGGGACAGAGCATCTGGAATCACAGATGTCACAAATGCCACCCCTGACCTGGGGATGGCTGGACTCTCCCAGGGGAGTCCTGAGGGAACCCAGGGTGGGTGAGCTCTAGGACCCTCACTCTCGGCAGCTGCGAAGAGACAGACTCCAGGAAGGGTGGGGACAGAACGGCAGCCCCAAGACTGGATCTCTCAGGCTGCTCAGCCTTGTCTCAGCTGAAGCCTGATATTTTTTTGGCCTTCTGTCCTCTGTGTACCAGAGCTGGAGCACTCCTGGTAGCTGTAAGCGTGACATTTCTGTGGCTAGTTCTGAGCGAGGCTGCTGTGCCCAGAGTCTGTTCTCCATGGTGGCAGAAGCCACTGAGTGTCGTTCTGGGCCCAGTGCCACCAAACCTGGAGACCCCTGTCAAAGAGGGTGGACAATAGCTTGGAAG